GGCAAAAATAACACTTCCCAGCTCCTTGTACACCTCCCCCTCAGCACTGCCCAAATGCCTGCCTCTGAACAGCTCCTATAAAGGGCACTAAATGTATAGATCCTGTATGGGAGCATCTCTTCTTCGCTGCCTACACACAGGATGTAGGTTCCCAGCACTGGATTGATTGGAATGCATGTGTAACCATGACAGATACTCAAGCACTGCAGTGCCTAAGTCCTTTATGTATTTACCTGTGTTTTTGAAAATTTTCAGTTCAAAAGAAAGGAAATATTTCACCTGAAATATATTCTCTTCTTTCCAACTATAAATCAATTCGGTCTTTGAGAGAAAGCAGTTCTGGGAAACTTGATGAATTAAAACATTATATTACTTTAAACACTATCTATCACTGCCAACATAATTTTAAATTCACCGTTCAGCCTAAAAACCACTGCTTCTCAAGACCAAGGAGAATAAAATCTATTTTACACAAACTCCAACCAGAAACAAAAAACAGCAACAACAGATACTGCATCTCTAAGCCACTCCCTAGGACAATTACAGATCATTTCATTGTTTAAAATGCTTTTGAGCGCTACCTCTCAACAAAACCGTTACGTAAATTAGAAAGGAAACATCAGCTTTTCTTAAAAGTGTTTATTGAGATGGGCTTCCAGTGCACTGAAGAGCCTGTGGTGGTTCCGTCTCCAGGTGAGGAGCAACTTCTTTACTGTGAGGGTGACAGAGCAGTGGAACAGGCTGCCCAGGGAGGTTGTGGAGTCTCCTACTCTGGAGGTCTTCAAGACCCGCCTGGATGCCACCCTGTGCCACATGCTCTAGGTGTGCCTGCTTGAGCAGGAAGGTTGGACTAGATGATCTGTAGAGGTCCCTTCCAACCTTAAATATTCTGAAATATTCTGGATCCCGGCCCTCCGGATCTACCTGCCCGCTACAGGTTCAGCTTCCTCGGCGCTCAAACACTGTCGCTGCTCCCTCTGGCGGGGCCCTAAATGAAGCAAATATTCCCGCTCAGTTACCCAAGGAAAGCATCTTGTTACTGGTAACTGTGCTTTGGAATTCAGCCGGGAAGCATGTGCAGCTCTCATTCAGTGTGATCCTTTTAAACGCCTTCTAATTAGGTCAAAATTAGGTAGCCCCTGTTAAAAAAGAATTTGAAGAGCACTCCATACGCAGATACTTTCTGTATGAATTTACACTCACACAATTATTACTCAAGAAACAATCTGTCTTTGTCTAGGGTGTGACTGTTCTTTTTTATCTTCTTTTGTTTACCCATCTGCTCATCTTTAAGTACTTTGTCTTTAATGCCATCACTTGCACAGGCACAGGCCTATTAGAAATGAGCCTCTAACAAGTCATGGGTGTGAGAACCTCTCTAATACTTCCTTTTTCTTAAAAACAAGACGATGAAACTCCAAAAGCCAGTATTACTCTTGTTCCATATCGACTGCTAATGTTGCTGCCCACCACAATTTCAAATTCAAATGTAATCTCCAAACACCTGTAAGTAAAAGAATATGCTGAGCCACAAAGCCCACTTTATCTAAGCAGGAAGGAAGGGAGGATACCAAGATTTAAATACAGTTTCTCTTTAGAAAGTCGGTGACCACAGCAAATAGTCCGGCACACTAGGGGAAGGGCCAACCTTCTGGAAATTGTTGAAGAAATCTGGTATGTTTGTTTACATTAAGCACACACAGTAGATAAAATGGAAAAAGGAAATTCAAATCAGCTACCAGGGGATAAACTGAGAAAATAAGCAGAAGAAAAACCACAGGAATGAAGGATTTTTTTCTTGAAATCAAACGCACGCACTTTTACTCTTTAACTATCCGAATTTACTAGGCTTTCGTCCTCCAGGGGTCATCAGATAATTACCATAAGGCCCAGAACTTACTTCTAAACTCTCTTCAGTAACTACAGGCTAAAGCTTAAAGACAGGCAACCCCTTTTACACTCTTGCTTCTCAAATGTATTATACAAGTTTATTATTATTATTATTTTTTTTTTTTTTTGAAAAGCAGACTTTGGAATTGGTCTGTTTTTCTGTCTTTCTGGCTGCTTGTTGTCAAGCTAGAGGATGGCCCTGCTGTAGCTCACAGGGGACTCTGGGCACAATATATCGGTCTGACTGCTGTCACGCAGCTCAAACAGAAACATCAAGAAAGTTATATATTTAAACTGACTATAAAAACCACCCCAGACACAGGAGGTGTGATAGAGCATCACGAATGTTTTTTAAACAGCATATGTCCTAGTATGAAAATATATTTGCTACTTAGCCTGTAGAGTCGAGATGCTAAGTTAGGGAAATGCTGCAAAACACGCATCAGCATACTAACAAGGCTGAATGTCAGGAATCAAATAAAAATAGACCATTTCATGAGCAAAGTGGTTACATTTATAGTAAATCTCATTAATTACAGCTCATGGGTCTCTTTCATGAATCTAAGCTGCGGAGATACTAAGAAGATGAACTCGAGGCCTTGAATCTTACAAATTGAAGTAACTGTAAGAAGGATGTAAACACAAGTAATGCAGCCCTAAATATATCTTTTTATCTTTCCAAACGACTAGGCTCTTGACCTTTTGAAGATACCAATTTGGTTAGACAGATCCAAGATTGAGGGGGGAATAAAGGGAGACAAAAAAGAGGCGGGTCAGAATTTCCACCAGATATTTTAATGTTATTTTCTTATTGCTTTTCACAATCTAAGAATTCACAGCAAGGTATAATCTGCTTATACTGCTGACATCTAAAAAAAATGACATGGAAGGATTTTCAAACAAGCGGGAGACAGTACAAAAACACTGCTGAAGATCAATACCCACAACTGTGAGGAAGTGTGGCTATTTACCTTATTTTTCAGGTCTCTGAAGCCCACAAATAAATTACAGTCATTCAAAACTAACTCAGAACCAAAATGTGAAGCACTTATCAGTCTCCTCTTCAGACTGTAATTATGCAAAACACATACGGAGGTTAGTAGAAAACTGTCCTAAATAAAAGGCCCGAGTAGCAACCTTAAGACTGAAAATCTGATTCATTAAAGGAAACTTAATGATGGCCTGCTAGTTACACAAAACAAAAAAAAAACTACATACATAGATATGCATTGATACATTGTATTATGTTTAAGTCTGGGAACCTATATAGACATATACACCTATCTCTCACCATATAGAAAAGTGGTAGTGAGCAAAACTGGAACCAGTAGCACTGGGTAGAAATACTCCACTGTAACCAACGTACATATAGACACACTGTGAAAGAATACACCAGTTTAATAACGGGCAAAAATCAAACATTTTAGAATACTACTTTTAAATATCTGGAGAATTTTGTCAGAAAAGTTAGAATATTGAGCTCTCATGTTACAGAATTTTTTTTTTTTTTTTTTAGCAAATGATTATCCCCTTTTAAAAAACGGAGCATTTCAAGAGATCCGTCTTGAAGGAGTATCCTGTTACAATGTTTTGCCTACATTAATGCAAATCACAGTTGCTGGAGTGAATTAAAAATGCTGATCCCTGGGAAATTAATCCAAAATGAAAATTTATTCTGTACTAAGCTAAATGGGCCGTATCAGTTCCTTCTTTGCTGATCATAAATTCAACAAACTCTAATTGTCATCAGGCATGCTTTCCTTTCAAAGCTTTCCTGCAGGAACAGGCCAAATATTGTTGCACGAAAAAAAAAATTATATAAATACCATAATTGCTAATAAATTATTGTTGTGGTTTGTTTTTCTCCCTGCAGCTCCTCCTCCCCACCTCCCTCAACAGTAACTCAAAAATGGAAATTTCTCATGGCAACATTACATACAATGTTTAGAAATTGGCTCTTCTGGTATTTCTAAGGAACATTTGTTATTTTTTCATATGTACTTCACACGTACACATCAAGTGCCCATAAAGAGATTTCTGGTTCCCATAGTAAGCAAGTTGGCCAATACTGGAACAGGCTACTAACTAGAGCAGAAATTGAGCAAGTTATCTGTTTTTTGTTTGTTTGTTTTGTTTTTTAAAGTTATTCTCTGTGAATCCAGTCCTCAGTTAAGGCTACCTAAGTTCTGTTTTCAATTAAGTTCCTGTGTTAATTAGTTCTTTCCCCTAACTTCGAGAGCCACATGGCAAAATCCCTAAACTTGCTTCCTTTAAGGTTTTGCCCCCAAACCGAAGGAAAATACAGACACACACTGAGTGAGGCATTAAGAAATGAGAGCATTGTTTTAATAGAAATGCTTGATAGATTAACGCTCGGATCATAATCACTACTGCAACATGGTTTAGACACATAGTCCCTAAACAAAGTCACAAAGTCCTTTAATGTTATATTTGCATGTATGCTTTTGCAAAAGAAAAAATATATATATATGTATATATATATATTTAAATATATAATAACGGGACAGGACCATTTCTTTCTTGAAGCCACAAGCTGTTCTATTCCAGCTGGAAAATGAGGCTACCAAGGCTGGAAATAGGAAATGCAAAGGAAACACAGGAGACTTGCCAAGAGGTGAGGTAAGTCTTGCTTGTTGTGATCAGAAGCTTTCAAATACTCACTACCACTAAAACTGCGGGCAAAGGGGGATTTGATGGCCAGAAAGGCTAAACCTCCGAAACCAGCGGTTAAAATTCAAGGTGAGAGAGGAGCCTTAATGGAGCTGGGAGGGCTCCTTGCGTCTTGGGATGCACAAGATGGTCCCTTTTGGAGAGATGCTCCTGCGAGGAGCAGAGGATGGCAAATCCCATGGACAAGGGCTCTGAGCGCGGTTGAGCACGGCCAGCCCACTGCAGGTGCGAGGCGAAGGTGGCGGGAAGGCGGCGCCATCTCATGGCACACCGCCCTCGCCCAAGATGGCGGCGGCGCGGGGCGGCAGGCGGGCGGGCGGGCGCCACGACGCGTGGCGAGAGCGCGTTGCCGGGCGCCCCGCGGCGCGGAAAGATGCCCCGTCCCGCGCCGCTCCGCGCCGCTCCGCGCCGCCGCCGCCATGGCGGACGGTTACCAGCTGTGGGCGCCGCGCTCGCCGCTGGACGAGGCGCTGCGCTGGCTGCGCGGCGGCGCGGCGCGGCCCGCCACGGCGCACCCGTTCCGCGGCGGCGGCCCCGCGGCGGGCGCGCTGCTGCGCGGGCGCGTTGCGGGCGCGGCGCCGCGGCGGCCACAGGCCGTGCGGGTGCGCGGCCTCGACGCCGTTTTCGGGCGGCTCGTGACGGCGCAGCCGCCGCGCTGGACGGGCGCGCTGCGGGTGTCGGAGCGCTCCGCCTTCTGCCGCGTGGTGGGCGCCCGGCAGAGGCGGCCGTGCGCGCTGCGGGCGCCGCAGGCCCGAGCCGCCGCCGCCATGTGCCGGCAGATGCTGCGCGCCATCCTGCTGCTCTACGCCGCCTACAAGAAGTGCGCCTTCGCCCTGCAGCACGCGCGCTGAGCCGGAGCCGCCGCGGGAACGGCGCCCGCCACAGCCGCCATGGCACCGGAGGAGCACGCGCGGCCTCGGACTGTGCAGGCGTGAACGCTGCCACGCGCAGCGCGTGACGCTGCTCGCAAGCGCTGCCATCGCGGCCTCTGTTCGCCCTGTGTGCACAAGACTCCACTTGTTCCGCTGGAAGAAAGCGTCGAAGGGAAACGCTGCTTCTTGACGAGGCACGGTCGTTTTCATGGACATCCGCAGAGACTGACGGGCCTTTGACACGCGCGAATGTCCGGATAGCGCCCTTAAGCCTGCTGCCCTCAAAGCGAAACCCTTTCTGTCTTCCTTCATTTCTTGTGAAGGTCTTCATTCACAAGAAACCCAAATTTAAATCTTACAATATTAGTAGATTTTAAGTTTTCCCCCACTTGTTACTACTTGTTGACAGCTAATTGATTTGCAGAGAATATAGTCTCAGAATAAAACTCTTGATCAATTCAAGTACTAAAGGCAGTGTACATAGATACACTTTCAGTGCTTTGCAGTCTTCAGAGCTACCTCCACAACTGTTTCTTCTCTAGTAAGCAGAGGGATTGTTGCAACCAAATTCAAGGAGAAAGTTTCCTAAAAACGCTTTTTGATCCTACGCTCTTCAAACTTTCTATGCAATTAAATGAATGGGTGTGAAATGTCATAGAACTTGTTTATAGCGAAGGAAAACATCTTGCAGAGATGATTTTCTTTGTCTCCAAAGTGAGCTAAATAACTCATTATTTTCTCTTCCTTTTGTTTTAAATGTCATAAACAATGGCTAGAGCTTTTTAGAAATGTACTTCTGGCATCTTACAATCCAAATAATAAAAAACTGGTTCTCATTTATTTCCTGCTAACCTAGGTAATTCATTAATTGTTTCACAGACCATAGTTACAAAATTATTCTGAGAATTACAGCAGCTGTGTGAAATTTTAGCTAAGCATGCCCGCAAAATCACGTAAGAAGTATTTGTAGTGTGTTCGTGGTCGATATTTCGCAAAGCTCTTTCCCATAATCAGTACTCAGTCGGGCTTCAGGGGTGAGTGTTGAGCATGGTCTTCTCCTTCAATCGCTGCTTACAGCGGGCTGCAGAAAAGCCTTCTCGTGCATTCACCCTTAATGGTGAAGAGTCTTGTTCCACCTCTCAATAGCAGCCGATTTGCTTTCTAAGCTGCCTCCAACGAGCCCCCAGGTCGGAGTGGGTGAACGGCACTGCTGGGACGTACAACAGCAACACACAAAAAGTGCTATATATGTTTTATGACTGATACGTGAATATTTTCAATGAAGAGCGCAGCCTAAATAAGAAGCCAAGGTCTGTGCTCTGCTTTGGTGTGGTGCAGCTATAGGGTATTAAAAAGTAAGTGCAAGCTTTAAGAGCAGCTTTGGAGCTGGATCCACGCTTCCTGTTTCTGATGCAGCGTTGCCTATAAAAGCTGCGTGGAATCAGTCCCTCAGCAGTATAAGCTGGATTTTTCCATTAAGTTCTCATCAGAGTCCACTCTTCAGGTCTTGCTCTGTTGTTTCAGCTACTTTAAAGACAATTCCGTGTCATCTTTCCATCTGAATGAAATCCTGCCAGAGCTAGGAAATAACAAGCAACTCTGGAGAAGTAGTACTAGTTTGTGCAGATAGAGTATTAGGCTAATACTTCTGGTTTTGCCTTTTTTTCCCTAAAAACTTTCAAAAATACTCTTCAAAGATGACTTTCATGTCAGTCCCATTAGCAGGTCATGTTCATTTGGCTGGGATAGGGAGTTACTGTTTTTGGTAGCGCAGACCTATCTGCATATAAATAAAGCGGAAAGTACAGTTTCCCTGAAGCTTGCTGGATTGCTAGAGTCTTTCTTCCAAAAAGCCCTGTGCACCAGAGCCCTTCCTGTCCCTTTTGAGAGTCTCTCTCATTGCCTTCCCTTGCAGCTTGCTCACTTTGATTCCCTTCACACATAACTGCAGTCAAATCGATGGCCAAGCTCCTGAGCTTGCTGCCAGTGCTCAAGGAACCCACTGCGGAGGGTTAATCCTGCGCAGGATTTATCATGCTGCTCCACGCCTTAGGGTAGCAACTGCTGTCGATCCAGGTGACTTTAAACAGAGATGTGCAATTGCTGTTCTGTGTTCTGTGAGTGAGAAGTATGTGGTAAATCTGTTACCTTCAGTGAGATGCGTGCGATCTGGACACAGATTGAAGAGCAGCCGCCGCAGCCGGGGTTACAAGACACCTCAGGATGTATCCTGTTCTAGAGCCAGTTAAATGTTCAAAGGATTGGATGAGAGCATTTATTTCTATATTATATCTCCAAGTCAGGATACACTTTACATTCGCTCAGTTTCACCACCGTACGTAAACTGCTTCCTTTCAGTTGGATTGGTGCAGCGGATAGCGATATAGATAAACCCAAACATAAGAAATGACAACTCTTAAATCTTTAAACAGTATGGCACAACACCCTAGGGACACACTTGCTGTACCCAGTGCCAAGTTAACACTTGTATTTTTGAGATAATAGAGAAAACTTGTGAATTCTATGTGTATTCATGCAGGCAAAATAGAGACCACCCTCCTATATTCCATCTGCAGGCAAGCAATTTCCCATTTCTCAGTGCTGGAGCATTTGCAGCCTGCTTTGGAGTTTGCCCAGTGCCCTACAAAATCAGACCGATGATAGGAGAGTAAATGCTTGCATTTGTGACAGATTACTACATCAGCGAGCCTTTTTCCTACAGATTTATAATCATCATGCAGCTACAACTTAAACAACACAGTCTGTTGCCCAGATTTGTTTCAGAAAGTTCGAGAAGATTAAATTTGACTTTCTCAGTGGCAAGTGAGATAAAATTAGAGCATTATTGATTCTTGCCTCAGCCCTGCGTGTGCTGCTCAGCTTCCCGAGGAGAATAGAAAATTTAAAGGAAGGGAGAAGGAGGACAACAGCTGCACATGGTGGCTCAGCCGCACACAGTCACAGAGTGCTCGTGGCTGTAACATTTTTCTCCTCAAAATATTCTTAGGATCATTAAACAGAGGCTCCTTTAAGTTCCTGTTGTTAGAATGGTTTCAGGGAAAACTTGCCCTTTTCTGGCTGGCTACGCCTCAGATGAATCCGCGTCATTTGCTCTTGCCTGTAACCAGTCGTCGCGTCGAGTGCCGCAGAGCTGATGCTGGTGGCAGCGCTCCCTGCTCCGCTCCGAGCACCAGGGCCCTTGGTGCAGCTTGTGCGGAAGGTCCTAGCAGGTCTCCAGTCCCTTTGCTGAATTGGGACCAGGTTTTCCCCTCAAGTCTCCAGGGCTCTGAGTCAATAATGGACCACTGACCTTTGCTCTCCAGCCTGCACTCTGGCTTGGTTTAATCCTCGGAGCTGATATTATTTTTCCTATCTGTGCTTGCAGATATGATTCATAACATCTCATGGCACCATCTCTTTTCAAAGGGAATCTCATCAAGCCCGTATTTCAGATCACCCTGTTTTTGAATGCTAGTAAATCTACTGCAGATGTGCGACTTCTGCATCCAAGTCCAGCTGGCAGGTCATCATGTGCATCCCTATGCAGATGTGGTGGAAAAGCATCCAATTCATATGCTCAGGCTCTTAAAGGAGTCTTAACACCGGCACTAAGCCTGCAGCTGCATTGGGTTGGCTTGCCTTGAAAACCTCTACAAGTAAGGAGGGGGACTGCATCTCCCACAGCTGCCCATAAGATGTTTGGCTCGCCACTCCTCCCTGCTCCTGGGATTTCTAGAGAGGTCCAATTGCCTCAGGCCTAGTAGGGAATCAAGTTTTGACCCCTAATTAGAGAAACTGTTGCAGCTCTGTTGCATCACTGGCTATTTAGGAGGCAAGCAGAGCACTTAAAAATGCTCCTAATCAGTGCAGTTCTGTAGATGTAAGGCTAAATGACAGAAGCATATAGGTTTTGCACAGCACAATCTCAACTGCTACCGCTAGAAGTGTGCAGCTGACTACATACACGTTACTGTTGACAAGAGATCCTATAAGTTGGGCTTGATGCATAATTACAGAAGACAGTTGCGAATGTTTGTATTCCTGCAGCTAGTGCTGTGTCAGCATTTGTGCAGGACAAGCTTCCCTCCACTGTGAACCCTTTCATCAGTAATGAATTTCTCCTAAAAACATGGGGTTTTTTTTTCTGTAGAAAATACAGAATTTAGAAAAAAAGTCTCAAAAAGAGTAATGATTAGTTAAAACTTTACTAAATGTGTCAGTAAATTCTCTTTAGCAATTTGACTCACTGCCTTCCTTAATATTTTCTCCTGCCTCAGGGTAGCTTTTTCTTGTATAGAACAGCTGCCTTATTAGAGATACATCCTGAGTTTTTGACACTGGAGAATGTAAATAGCACCTCGGAGCTGCGTCTCTGTTCTTATCTTGCTAATCAGATTCCAAGAGAGGAAGAGATGCTTCACCCTGGGGACGTTTCCCACCCACACTCTGAAAGGGCTGCTTAGTGTGCTGGTGCCAGTGGAAAAAAACCTTGCCTCGCTGGCATATGCATGGAGCAATGCCCCCACATGATGGGAGTCCAGGAACATCCGATGAGGTCTCATCACCGAGTTTTCTTCATATTCTTTTGTTGGTGGGACAAAGCTTGCCCTTGTGAAGAAAGCAGACTGCCATATTTGGGAGCTTCTTTTTTTTTCCCACTAATTAAGACTGACGAGTCTGGAGGGAAAGGGCAAGAATCTAGAGAGAAATAATCCTTCTATTACCTAATTCCTTTGCAAATGTATAGTTCCTTATAGCACACGAGAGGCTATTTTGGAAGAGCTGTTGTTGCATCCCTATCCTTCAAACATTTGTGCACATCGTGTATATTGAAATAAGTCAATCCTGCTGGGGGCCTTCGATTCCAATTGATGTTTTTTTCCAATTAGTAAAGATCAAGAAGCATGACTAAAATTCAAATTGCCAGTCTTTGCTCTTTTCAGACATTGGCTGTAAAGCATATTTTTTAAGCACCATCT